CAGGGGATCCCCAGGTACCGGCTAGAGTCTGGCATCCCTATTTGAAATGCTTATCTACAGCAATGAATATTTGTGTTTGGGGTCAGGAAGGCAATCATGTTTGTAACCAGCACTCCCAGAAGATTAATGCAGCGGCTGACAAGAAGTTATGCTGCTTCCGGGAAATCATGGCTTTTTTCCTAGCGTGGGATATTGGCCGTAGATCTCCAATAAACAAATGAATTTTTTTCCCCTTTCCTTTTCAGAGAGACTCTTATCGAGTAACACAGAAAGGACTAGAGAGAGTTTCTGAGAGCCAGGTGGGGGAAATCCACCCAGTCAAGCACCCCGGCGGCCCCCCGATCCTCCATTTCCTCAAAGCTGCTCTTGGCTACAAACGGTAAGCAAATCTCTCTTGATATCAACCTTCTTCACAGGCCTTGCAGGGTGTCAGCACCTGCTCTAGGCTGCGTTGCCATTCAAAATAGTTTAATTCAGAAAAACAGAAAGGACTAGAGAGAGTTTCTGAGAGCCAGGTGGGGGAAATCCACCCAGTCAAGCACCCCGGCGGCCCCCCGATCCTCCATTTCCTCAAAGCTGCTCTTGGCTACAAACGGTAAGCAAATCTCTCTTGATATCAACCTTCTTCACAGGCCTTGCAGGGTGTCAGCACCTGCTCTAGGCTGCGTTGCCATTCAAAATAGTTTAATTCAGAAAAACACCGGGGAGGGTCAGGTCCTTTCATGTGCTTCAAATTTTGGTGGGAGAGAACGGCCGTAGTTAAACAGGGTCACCATTTCGTATTTGAGTTGGGGGCAGGAGGACTCTAATCTGGGAGAACCGGGTTTGATTCCCCACTCCTCCACTTGCACCTGCTGATGGGACCTTGGGTCAGTCACAAGCTCTGGAACAGCTGTCCTTGAAAAATAGCAGTTTCTGTCAGAGTTCTCTCAGCCCCGCTCACCTCACAGGGTGTCTGTTGTGGGGAGGGGAAGGGAAAGGAGTTTGTAAGCCCCTCTGAGACACCTTTGGGTAGTG